TCCCACTTTCCCTACACCTTTAGCCCCTTTTCTTCTTATTTCACATTTTCAATTATCTCATTAGGATCTTATGTACTATTGTAGTTTTTCACACCAGAGAAACTATTCAGTATTTACACATGTGTGACTTATTTATTTCACTTAGGAGTATATCCTCAATATACTCATTTTCCTATGAATGAATCTAATTTCTCATTCTTTATGGCTGAATAGTATTCCATTTTATAGAAAAACCACATCTTCTTTATCCAGTTTCCAACTGATGGGCAAATGGGCTATTTCCAAGATTTAGCTATTACAAACTGTGCCACTATAAACATGGGTGTGCATGTATCCCTGTGGTATGATTCCTTTAACTCTTTTGGAAAGATACCCAGCAGAGGGATGGCTGGGTCAAATGGAACCTCTAGTCCCAGCTCTTTAAGGTATCTCCATATTGATTTCCATAGTGGTTGCACCAGTCTGCACTCCCACCAACAATGGAGAAGGGTTCCTTTCTCCCCACAACCCTGCCAACATTTGTTATTGTTTGATTTCTTGATAGCAGCCATTCTTTGTGGGGTGAGGTGGAATCTCAGTGTTGTTTTCATCTGTATCTCTCAAATGACCAGTGATGTGGAACATTTTTACATATATTTACTTGCTGTTTTTACTTCTTTGTCCGAGAAATGTCTGTTTATTTCAGATGTCCATTTTTGAATCAGGTCTTTATATTTGGGGGGGATGATTTTTTGAGTTCTTTATATATTCTAGATAAGAGTACTTTGTCGAGAAGCAGCTGGTAAAATTTTTTTTCTCACATTGTAGGTTATCTCTTAGTTCTGTTGATGGTTTCTTTTAAAGTGCAGAAGACTTTTTTTTTTTTTTTTTTTTTTTTTTAATTGAACTTGGGTCCTTCAGCTTGCAACGCAGGCCACCAAACCGCTGAGCTATATCCCCGGCCCCCAGAAGATTTTTAATAAGATGAGATCCCAGTTGTTGATTCTTTGTACTAGTTCCCGTGCTACTGCAGATTTGTTCATAAAGTCTTTTCCTCTTCCAATGTCTTCAAGAGTTCTGCCTAATTTATCTTCCAGTAAGTTTAGTGTTTCTGTTTTAATATTTAGATCTTTAATCCACTTGGATTTTACTTTAGTGCATGGTGAAAGATAAGGGTCTAGTTTTAATCTATGACAGGTTGAGATCCAGTTTTTCCAACACCATTTATTAAAGAGGCTATCTTTCCTCCAGTGGGGATGCTCAGCTCCTTTGTCATAGATGAGGTAGCTGAGTATATCTGGAGTTGTTTTTTGTTTTGGGTTTTGTTTTGCTATCCTGTTTTTTTGTTCTTGTTCTTCTTTTTTCCTTATTTTCTTCTTGTATGTTTTCTATTACATTTTACCTAATTCTATTAGCATTCTTTTATTTTTAAGCTCACTTTTCTCTCATCTTCTCTTTCTCCTTTGTCATATTTTACTTTCCCTTTTACCCTTCCTCCCATCTCTTTGCTTTTACTGTTATTCCTATGAAATTTTATTAATTTTTAGTTATTTAATCTACTTGTTATTATTGCTGGATTATTTTCTTTTGTTGATGGTGATTTAGTTATTACACTTAATAGGTGTGTACTATATGTCAGTATTTGGCTTAATCTGTGTCTATATTATTATTATAGATCTGCTTTCAATCCTGAAAGGTGATATAATTGTAGCTAGTGCTGCTCCTTATGGTATGTTAATACCCAGTTTGGCTTTAACTCTATTGCTGTTGTTGATTTCTTTTATATTGTTAATAGTGGTATAGTTTTTTATTTTAATTGTTTTTTATTTTATGACAATATCTGGCTTGTCTTTGTGTCATCAACGTTCTGTTTTTCCTGTCTGAGTAGTATTGGGGATCAAGCCTCCAGGAGTTTGCACACCAAGAAAACTCTCAAATATTAAGTTGAATAGGCCAAAGAGGAAATGTAAACACCAAACATAACCAAACCCAAGGGCACGTCACAAGGAGTCAGAATTTAACTAAAGAGAGCTCCACAGTAGTGACAGTTTCTCTACGCTAACTGATCTTCAATCCACAGCAAAATAAAAGTAGAAACATGACAAATCAAGATAACAAGATGCCACAAAACTGCTAACTCTCTAAAATCTGATCTCAGGGACATTGAAGTAGAGGCAGTTATAGTTAAATAAATCAACTGGGGAAGCGATTTCAACTCCAGAATGCCCTTGGAACAGGCTGACCATTGTCAGTCTTGCAATGCTACTCAACTTGTTCCTATACTGCAGGCATCCCCAGACTGATACTGATCCACAGACTGTTACAAGCTGAGACACAGAGCAGGTCATGACCTGGGAGCAAGTGAAGCTTCATCTGTATTTTTAGCTAATCCCCATCATCAGCATCTCTGCCTGAGCTCTGCCTCCTGTCAAATCAATGGTGATATTAGATTCTCTAGGAGCAATACTCCTACTGTGAACAGTACCTGTAAGGGATCTAGTTGGAGCACTCCTATGAGAATCCAACACCTGATGATCTAAAGTTAAGCTTAGGGAGTAATTGTACCACTGGAGCGAAGCTGCAAATACAAATCAACATTAGCAAAGAGGTTTGACAATACAGAGCATATGATAAATAATTTCTTGATGACTGATATCAAAATCTTATTAGTGAGAGACAATTTAAGCCATATCTGATGAGAGAACAAAATGAGAATATGGATTAAACAGCAAATGAGCAGCCTGTCTCCTAACACACACTGATGTGACTGTCATCTGATTTACCTGGCTTTTTTTTTTTTTTGGTACCAGGGATTGAACTCAGGACCTTGTGCTTACAAGGTAGGCATGGTGCAAATAAGCTAAATCCCCAGCCCTTTCGTGCTTTTTTCTATGCTTACAAGTATGGATAGGTCGTACCTCACATAGCTTTTGTTCTTTCATTTGACAGTCATATGCCTAAAGTGAGATCCTCCTGTGCATACTCATTTCATTATTAATTCATAGATTACTCACTGCATCACTAACAGTTTAAAGAAGGCTTCAAGAAGGCCAGGGATTTAGCTCAATGGATCCGCCACCTGCCTTGCAAGCACAAGGACCTGAGTTTGATCCCTGGTACCAAAAAATTTAAAAATTAAAAAAAATATAAAGAAGGCTTCAAGAAAATAAAAATCCAGATTATATTACCATAATTTTATCTTTTATAATTTCCAGGCATACTGAAAACTAAGCAGAACATTATCACCAAAATATTTTCCTTATAAATTTGTGTTTGCTTTGCCTTCTGTTCTTTCATGGGTTTGGAAATCATCTTTTCAAATATTATTAATAGCAGTATTGTTACTATCAGTGGCATTAGGAGTAACAGTAGAATAATCTTGTAGAAAAACCCTGTAAAATAACAGGAACAGTAGAATAATCTTGGTTTTCTTCTTTGCTTCCCTCAAACTTTGCTTTCCCCATCAAAATCTTCAAATTTATTTTTCTTAAATTTTGCACAAAAAAGTTAGGTAGTTTAACATGCTATTATCTCTTCCTGAAACCTTCACCTTGTCTTTGAAGTAAAGCTCATCAAGTTCATCCTTCTCTTTTAAAGTTGCAAGCTCTTTATCCTTTGACATTAAAGTTTTAAGCTCCTGAGGGTCAATTACATAAAGAGATTTTTCATTCAGACTACAGAAGGCATCTGGGCATCTGTGTGGATCACAGGCTACCTACAGAAAGTCATGCATTAGAACTCTTCAAATGTTCATTTCTTTGTTAAAGGGACAAATAAAAATAAGGGAAGACTGAATGTCCAATGCCATTGAGATTTCAGCACTTTCTGGACCCACTGATGACGTAGACTCTCAGAGATACCCTCACACATACACACACCTCCCCCAACACATTATCCTTTTCTCCAGCCCCTCACCCTGACAATCCAGGAGAACCAATAACTCCCTGAATATCTTGGCACTTCCTTCATTAAGAAAGCATAAGTTCATGTGCACACATAAGGAGAAATGTACAAAAGAATCTCATCTATTTCAGAAAATAAATTTTGAAGAGTGAATTTGAAATTGATAGAAAATAATTAGATAATGAGTTAAGTCTCTCTTCAAAATTCCAGAGACTCTATAGTAAAAATTGCCTTCATTGGAAAGCAGAGCTATAAAATATTATATAATTTTAAATGTCCTCAATCTGTGGAATGCCAGTTTCTCTTCCTAATGGGAAGAAAAAAATAACTACAAGTATTTAAATTTTGTTAAGAGGCCCATGGAATGTTTATCAAAAATATAAAGGACAGAATACAGATCCTCCCATATTATAGAGACAATGTAGTCTATATCTTCTTCCTTATTCACTCAAATACAATCATCTATTCAAAATATCCTTTCTAGTTTTCATATGCTATTGTAGGGAATACCTAAAATTTTAAAATTTATCTTTATGTTGCTTGGTTCAATGTATGACATATGTACACACCCAAGTATTTATAAGCTTTTGTCTTATATGTAAGATGAATATATCCACATATACATAATCTTCTGTTATATACTTTAGAAGTCAAACGCCCTCAAAACATTAACTACAAAGAGCTGATTTCATTGCATATTGTGGAAGCATTTCTACAGTAAAGTTTTTATAAAAACACATATTTAGAGACTTTTAGTTTGGTATTGTCTTTTTCATTTGCTTCATTACTTTTGAGGGACATATTTTAAAAATCATTACTCAAACAAAAGCAATGGACATTTTCCACAGTGTTTTCTTCTGGTGATTTTACATTTTCAAGTTCTTCAGGAGTGATTAAACAATTTTGAGTTGATTTTTGTATATGGTGTGAGATGAGCGAAGACATCAATTTTGTACCCGCACAACTAGAATTACTGGAGAAAGTAAGTCCCATTTAGTTAAGTTTTGAATTCCACAAGCTTTAACGTGTTCATGTTATTCAAGACCTATAGGATATTGGTACATATGGCTGGCTGACAAAAATCAACTTTAGTCTACAATTCCTTTATTTTTACCTACCTTCTCCAAGGATCAGTCACGCGGCATAGTACTAAGAGGCAAAAAGGTTTAAATAAAGGAAAAGGGATTCTGTCTCTAAATATAGACAAAGGTACACCATAAACTTCCATTCCTTCCTACTTCTCCATGCCAGGACCATGAGTGTGATGTTGATCGTTGTCATAAACCACTGTGGAATCATATGTATAATTCACATGGCAACTGTTTCTAAGTTGCCATGGATCCTAGCTCTTTCTGATTTTTAAAAAATAGTTTCTAGGCTTTACTATGTATCCAAAACTTCTTGTTTTATAAATTTCAAAGACTCTTAGATACTTGAAAACCTAATATACTTGCCTCTTCTTTAGCATGAGTCTAAACTGGGATTTCTCATTGGTCTCTCTTATTCCACTGAGGGTTACTTTCCATGCAAGATGTTAATTTTGGCTATGATTATTTTGGGTTTTGTGTATATATAAAGGTAATAAATTAACACTTAAAGAGTTAGGAAATGCATAAAAGTGGTACTACTTAGATCTCACCAATAATATATTACTTACCATAAGTTGCATTCAACAAATAAACATTAAGGAAACTGAATCTTTAAAAAATGAAGGGTAATAACTGATACAAAAGACATCATAGTTCTTAGTAATTGAATTTTTATTATGAAAAACCCATCTTTCCCTCCTGAAGATACTATAATACAAAAACAAATAGAAAGTTATAAAATTTTACATTTGAATGTCTAACAAATAACATCTCTCCTCAAGGATAGGATGGAACTACTCAGTTTGTATCAAGTGGGAACATTCATTTTCATGTTAATTCAGATGTCCAGCTAACAATAATCAAATTCTCTTTGGCAGGAATTTATAAGTTAGAAAGATTTCAGTTGCACTTCTTAGAGTGGTCCTTTCAGTGGCAAAGCCGGACTTGCCAAGGTGATTAGGAGCAAAAGGAGTAGCGTCTTCTGTAGAGGAAGGGTCAGTAGCTACGGTGGCCAAAGCCATATCTACAGCCATAACTATAGCTATCGTCACAGCTAGAACCATGGCCAGAGTCACAACCAAATTTGTATCCATGCCCATAGCCACAGCCAGAACCACAGCCACAGCTACTGCAGCAGTTCCCATAGTAGTTGTAGCTCATGGTGTCAGGAAGTGAGCTTTTAGTTGAGGGGTAGGAGGACATTTCCCAAGCCTGAATTTCATCTGTTCTTCCAGGCCCTTTGTATACTTAATAGGGATGGTTGGGTCATTGCTAACATGGACTATATTCTCTTATTTTACAACCATGTGCCCAAAAGGAGTTCATTCTCTGAATACTCATTTTGTTAGGAATTCATAACTCACTTCTTACTTTTCCTACTTCGCTAGTCATTTTCAGCAGCCCTTAAGGAAATAAATCTATATTTTTCTAAATACATAAGCTTTTGTCTCCACGATTTTATCTTTCATAATTTCCTTCATCACCATTATTTAACACAACACAACACCAAAGATGATTGACCTATAAATATTTGTTTACCTGTCATTGCTTTTTCATGGTCTTTGTAACCACCTACTAGATAATACTATTAAGTCTGTAACATTTTTAATATCAGCAGCAAGAGATATACCAGCAATAGCAATAGCATCATCTTCTCTGCATACGTTGATTTCCCCATTAAAATTACTTGGGATTATTTTATGTGGAATTTATGAAAATAATGGAGCATATCAACTCACAACATTCCCCTCTGAAATTTTCTTCTTCTCTTTCTATAGTAAAGCTTCTACAGCCCATTCTTTAGCCAGGAACTTAATACCATCTCTTTTTTTGTTGCTAAATTATTTCTCTTAAATTCCTGATTTCTAAGTTATGTAAGATTTATCACTGTTGGCTTAAGGGGAAAACTTTGCTTTTGTTCTTTGTGGTTGAAGTACAGCTAAATTCAGTCCCAACAGTGAGTTGGTTTTGTAAGAACATTCGAACTCTGTTCAGGTGTTTGGGTTATATCATAGCTTCCCATTAAAATCTAATTAATCAATAGTTAATGCTTTCAGAGCAGAAAGGCTGATAGGAAATGAGAAAAAATGATTTACAGGCTTAGTATTTCAATTAGAAGAAATAAGCTTTTTTCAATAATGTAATAACTGACAAAGTCCCCCCTCCACTTTAGAATCTTTATGGAGATTACAACAATTATATACATCACTTTAAACACTGCAAACAACTGAACATTATTTATTCATCCAATCCACAAGCACAGTGTCTTTTTGTTTATTTGTCTTCCTGAATTTCTTTCACCAATATCTTGGAGTTATTATTATGAAGATTTTCATAACTTGATTAAATTTTTTCTAAATATTTTATGTAAAATTTAGTGCCTACTAAGAATAGGATTATTTTCTTCACTTCTTTTTTCAAACAGCTCAGTGTTAAAGTACAGAAATGCAAATAATTTTATGTCCTTAGTTTGTATCCTATAATTTCATACTATGAATTTGTTACTTCTAAAATTTTTTAGTGGTGTCTTCAGGAATCCCAATATATAAGATCATGCCATCCTGAAAACAAAAACATATTTTCTTCCTTTCTTATTTGGATGGATTTTACCTTTGGCTGTATAATTGCTCTTGCTAGGGCTTAGAGTATAAAGTTGAAAAAAAAGTGGCAGGAATGATTATCCTTTTTTTGTTCCTGATGTTACAGGGGAAGTTTTCAACTTTTTCCCCATTTGATTATGGGCTTTTCCTCTAAGGACTGCATTGTATTCCAATATACCCCTTCCCTATCTAACTAATTGAGAGTCCTTTAGTATTGATACAGAGAACTTTTGCAAATAATCTAAAAACTTACAAAATGTTAGGAAAATGTGAAATGACTTTTGCTGTCTCTAACAGCAGTCTGCTTTATTTTTTTCAAAGTTAACAGACACTGGAGGCATTAACCATGAAATGACATCTGGCCTCATCCCTAACCTTGAACACCCACTTCCTGTGCACTAGAATAGATAGCTAGAAGATTCGTGAGGTAAACTTCCTAACTATAAGGCATTGTCACATATGGGTTAAAGTTAACTGTCTGGTTGCTATAATTTGTACATGGGTCATGTGAACTAAGGAAACAAAATGTAACCACCTGAATGAGATCATAGATGTAAAACCTATAAAAGAGGAAACCTCAACCCAAAAGGAGGTCGATCCCTGGCATTGCCTTTTTTTAATGAGATCAACCTTTGCTGGCAAAATAAACTTTTTATTTTACTTTCATTCAGCTCATTTCTATGTGTATGTCACTTGCCAATTTCTTCAGCAACAGTATCACAAAATTTCACCATGTGATTTTTCTGCCTTTAATGAGATCATAATTATTTTGATGCCACCTTTCTATTAATACAGTGTCACGCACTCCCCCAATTGAGTGTACTGAAAAATCTTTGTATTCCAAGAATAAATTCCACTTGATCTTGGGAAATGTTTCTCCCTAAAAGCTGTGGATGTCTTTTTATTCAAATGTTGTTCTAACTTTTACAACTATATTTATCAGGTATGTTCATTTCTCATTTTCTTTTGTATGAGAAATATTACAATTGCTCTTGCTTGTTTGCTATCAACATAATACTTCATTGAAAATTGTGGAAATATTCTTTCTTTAAATTTTTTAGAATAATTTGAGAAGGACTTTTATTAGTTTTTTATTATTTTGTAGAATTTGGTCATTAATTTATTTGTGGGCTTACTCTGATGGAAGATTTTTCATTACTGATTCATTCTCCTTATTTGTTATTATTCTACTTAAATATATGACCTCATAATTTACTCTGGTAAGTTGTATATTTCTAAAGCTTTCTATATTTCTTAACCGATTGTTGTTGTATAACTATGTCTAATTGTATTTCTGAATTCTTTGTGTTTCTGTTGTATCACTTGTATCATATCTCCTTTCCAGTTTGATATTTCTAGTGTTCACTTTTTCTTTTTTAACCTCAGTAAAGCTTGGCAAATTTTGTGGATCTTTTCCAAAACACTGATTATTTTCATTTATTTTTGTCCTCTATTCTGTATGAAATTTAATTCTAGTGTGATCGTTGTTATTATCTTCCTTCCACAAAATTTGGGCTTAGCTTTTCTGAATTGTCTAGATCCATGAGTTGTGGACTTGGATTGTTTATGTGGGATCTCTCATCTACACTATTTAACTTTGATATATTTGGAAATTTTCTGCAATGTATCCCATTACTGATACCTAAATTCACATTAGTGCTGTTGGAAACATATATGATATTATCAAAATCTTTGTAATATGTGAATATATGTTTGAAGGCTTAATATGTATCATGGCCAACAAACTGCTCTTAAGAAGAATGCATGTTCTGGTGCTATTACTAGAAATGTTCTCTTTATGTCTCTTGAGGCCTTTTCATATGTAAAAAGAATTTTTAAGATATGTAAAGAGAAAAATGTAAGGAAATCTTAGAAGAAAGCCTAGGAGACAAACTCGTATATGTAGTAACAACATGGAAGCATCATATAAAGCAGGAACCACCGGACTATTCAGTAGGTGGTGTTGGAAAAACCAGCTCACTACAGCAAAAAATGAAAATAAAGCAATATATAAAGTGAAAGATTTCAGGTAGATTAGCAATTCAAATATAAGTCATGAAATTTTAAAATTAATATACATTGACATTTGGCCAAAAACTATTTATTTCAAATAACACAAATGTGTGATACTGCATGCACTGTGTGAAAAAGATAAACATGGTAGTTTAGAAGGAGATGTTAATCACTAATGCGAAGGAAATTTATTGAGTAAACAGTAAACTCCTACAAAGCATAGATATATCATGTAAAGGTACAAATTCCCAATGATAAATGTCATCACATCATATACCTAAAATGTACCGATAAACTTAATGAATAAAAGGGTAGGAGGCATTTTTTTTACACAAAGAATATGAAAGAGGAAAGCAAATGGTAACATGCATTTGAAGAAAGGATGTTCAAACATATTAGTTCTCGAGAAATGCAAACACAAGATGAAATCACCTCTCTGTTCTCAAATGAGCAATGCTAGAAAGCT